ATAGTAGTACAAACCATCGAGATACTGACAATATTTTCAATTAACGTGTCTGTAACTTTTAATAAAATTGCCGTCAATTAACTTTGCAAAATAGTTTTATATCTATATGAATATTACACATTAATTATGTAATATTTCATGATTTATAAGTAATAAAACTCATAGTTGTATAATAAGAAAGCTGTTTCATTTACATATAACTTTTGTTAAACTCAAGTTGCATACTAAATACGCATAAATTAATCGAAAAGGTGAAGAACAATCAATATTTATTTCTTTTTAATGGAAGATATGTAATATGTATCACCAAAGCTAAAAATAAAAAAGTAAACATTGCTAAAAATATTGCGAATGCAAGAATCAAAGTTAAAATAATTCTCACACTATTTCAGTAGTCTGTTTTTACCCTTTTTACGTCTCTTCTCTTTCCGTTTTCTTGCTTGTACATCCCCAGACATCTTCTACGAGAAAATGTACGTGTACTTTTTTGCAAATAAACGAACACAAAGAATTTAAAATTTTTAAACGATCGAACACTGTACCGCGTCTGCAATAATTTGATTTGTAATGATCTTAAGAAGTGTTGACATAATGTGAAAATCCCTAGCGACTTAAATTGAACATTTTCGCCCCCGGCATTCAGTGCTTCCCAAGTTTTTGTTACTTTTGCAAAATTAGAAAGATTTATGTATTATAATTGTTGAGCATACAACTTCATATAATATTAGAAGCAGTTTCGCCTAGGAAAGATAAATGTGAAGAAGTAAATAAAATTTTCTTATGAAAATATACTTTAACATTGTTAACTACATCACAATATACATATAGTTCACGAATTACTAGATAGAAATACATGTAGTAAATAATAACAACTTCTTTATAATTAGTGTTTAAAATAGATGACAATATCACGCATCTCTTTATTAGAAAGGAAAATATTTTCGTATNGTTAACTACATCACAATATACATATAGTTCACGAATTACTAGATAGAAATACATGTAGTAAATAATAACAACTTCTTTATAATTAGTGTTTAAAATAGATGACAATATCACGCATCTCTTTATTAGAAAGGAAAATATTTTCGTAT